TATCGTCTTCATGTATGCCGTGTTCTTGAATAGTTGCTTGTACAGTCTCAAACCACGGTTTTATAATCTTTGGATCTTTCTGCTTTGCGCGCTGATAAGTAATACGTCTAGTATATCGCGTACGAAGTTCAGAATGATGCTTAACGAATTTATAAGATCAGTTGATTCCGAGGGCTGCAGACATGCCTTGTAGGCGATTATCAAACAATATCTGAGCTATTCCATGCAGAAATTCGGGCCGAATTGGGAATCCTCGCTTATCTGCATTTAGTAATTGCTTTAAAAGCAATTGCTCTTCGATTTCGGTCAGTTTGTGGCCATTAGCGCGTGTTTCCGATCGTGGTTTGATTCCATTAAGCCGTCGCAATAAAGTCGTTTTTGAAACACTAAATAGATCTGCCGTACGCGTTTTTGATCGAATTTTTTTGATTTAGAGGCAGATACTGCCATCTGAATTCGACTCTCCTTAGAAAGATGCATTTCCGATGATAGTGGTGGAAAAAAGACGCGTCGAAGTTGAAGTTCTGAATTAGATAGGGGGTGGTGGAGAAAACGGACCGCTCGGGGGTTTAGACCGCTCGGTGGTTGAAAACGTTAGTCAACTCCGCACTTCAACAGATACTTACTCTCTCGATCACGTGCCCCCCACATGACCATGACCTCTGACAAACTCCAACTTATTGAGGAACGCCGCCGTCTAGCAGCTTCCCGCAGTTTCACTATTGAGTTTCAGCAACTACAAGAAAGCCAGGAAAACGTTATTTGCCACAAAAAGCTTACTCCCGCTACAGATGATAAATATTGTCGGGCATTGGCAAATTGGGAATTGTGGATTTTTCTGTTTTGAGAAAAGATTGCTGGGCGATTTCTCACCAGATATAGATGGCGACTGTCACGGAACAAATCTAAGGAAAAGAACTTTTTTCGCGATGAGCCGGATTCAACATTTTAGATTCTTAAATCATTTGCCGAAGACTATATCGTCACTCGAAAGAAGCTTTCTTTTCAACAAACGGCGTGTCATAATCTGACTAGTTTCACTTCTCTATGGGAAAGAGAAACATCACGCACGTTGCCCAATCATGTTAAAGATGATGTTTTAAATGTAACTATCTATGATGCAAAAATAATCTGATTGGTGTCACTAACTTGATGTTTTAATATATTCGGAATGACCTTATTTCAAAATACGGACTTCTTATTAAACCGAGGGATCGGGCCTTGGTCACGACTAAGGATATTGAGTATTTGTTACACCGTTTATTTGACAAAGATAACCACATTAATAAACATGAACGGGCCAGAGTTCAGACAGGGTCTTTTCTGGCTCTCTTTGCTGGCTCTGGGGCCCGAGCCGGTGCTATTGTCGAATCTAGTTCCTATCAAAATTCGAACGAGTGCCTCTTTTACAAGGTTGGTTTTCACCTAGTAATCTTTAAGGGATTGTATCTCACAGCGTAAACCAGCACTTGGCTTTTAATATCAAATGGAGTGACAGTGGGCTTATCAAAAGATGGGTAACAATTGATCCTGAATTTTTGAAAGAATGGCGTTACCGTGATGATATGAAACTGTTGGTAATGTTCAAGTCTTCCTCAATTCTCTAGCTTACATGTTTAATCTGTATCAGGCCAAAAAATTGGTTTCGAGAACATTCTATTTTAGGATTCAATTTTGTCTTCTGAGTAATTGTGCATGGTATTGCGGACAGTGCATTTAAGAGTATTTCATCCGTGGACGATCTTTTAGCAAAGCGCCCACCGGTAGAAAGGGAATCATGGATTCTGCAATGGTCGGATGCTGTTAAAAAGCTTCCATTTTTTCGCATGGTCATTCCGAATGAGCCTTCGCCAGACAAGGCTTTGACATTTTCTGCTATGCGACATAATAATACGGCGTTGGCTGATCGAGAGAGTTTTAAGGATACTTTACGGATCCATAGTATTAGAGATGAAGTTGCAAACAAGATTGATCATACGGCCCTAATCTCGATTTATAATTTTTCGATGTTAACTTTCTTCTAGCCAAGGCATCTGAGACTACGCGTGGCCAGACATTTGACCATCAAAACCATGATATGTATCTCAAGTATCAAGCACAACTTAAATCTCTAGACATACAAGCTCTATTTTACAACATGGAACCAGATTATGAGTGTCGAGATATGGAACAGAATATGGCGCATCATCGAAACCCAAATGTCCCTAAACACATCAACGCTGCCATTTTATCTGAATTTGAACATGATTCTGAGATATTGGCACTCAATAAGCAGATTGCTGCATTAACAGAACAGATTGCAGATCACCCTGCGATACACAGGGATCTGGATCTGGAATGTCGTAGGCTATACAGCAAAAAGACAAAAAAGCTTGAAGTTAAACGATCAGCCTTTATCGCTCAGTGGTGAGAGGCTTCTTATGACGAATACATTGCTGACAATGACTTCTCCGAGCGTGACACGACCTGTCTTTTTGACATATATAAGAAGTACATGCCCGCACGATCGCGCCTTTGGGACAACCCTTTCAGACAGGCTTCTATCGACAGCGATGAGGGCAAGCAATGCCTGCACGATATGATCTCTTTATGCACATCAACGGAGAAAGTCGTTTATTATTCCGGATTGACATCAAAAGACGGCCGATGTCCAATATGTTCGGGAGAGATGTCAAGGTTTGGCTTTTATTGCCGCCAAAATGGCTTGTATTAACTTTTTTACAGCATTGCTCCACAGGGTCGCGCAAAACACATTTTACAATGTCGACGAAAGTGCTTGGATGCTGCATTCTACCAACAATGTTACAAGAATGGCAAACACGTTTACCGCCGTATCCAGCGCTCATTTGTGCAGTTCTGCTATCTCTGTGCTGAACTGGTTCATGACACAAATGAATGGGACAGGCACTGTCAGCATCATCTGGAGAACCTTCAACCTCGTTGCGGAATCCTAACCTTTCGGTACACAACCGTCGCGGCCGGTCTTTGTCTCTTCTGCTTAGGAGATGAAAATAAGGATCCCTCAGAACGGCTCAAGCAGTGGATGACCAAAGCCACTCTTTTAAACCACATTGATGATCATCTGAAACCCTACCAGTCGAAGAAGGCAATGCGGTGTCCGCATCCGCTGTGCCAGGAGAAAGAGTACAAGGGCATTATAGGGCTTCGGCGACACTTTTACGATGTCCATTCTATTACAGAGACCCGTTCAAATTGTGTTACTCGAAAGCGGCGATGGCCGTTGGACGAGGAAACTTGTGAGAATACAGGGACCGTGGAAGGTGCGAGCTACAAGCGAATATGCAAAGAAGAGACAAGCGAGATAGAGGATTAATAGGAATCTCACGAAAAGATAGCAGCGATTCTATATTCAGTGGAACCGAACCCACTGACGGTCTCTTATCTTCTATGTACGTCTTATAGATACAGTGACACTTGAAGGGAAAATTAGGGATCCCATGAGTCCTCCACCTAGAATAGTAGCCCAAAGGTTCTGGAAAGTTTTATTCACATTATATATACCTATAATAGCTGATACCAAAATTCTATTACAAATTTATCAAATGGATCAACAAGCCTCTTGCTCTAAACCCTTCTGTTGATAAGCACCACATTTTCCTTCATATACACCGAGGCATATTACAACATATACCGCAGGCGGTTTTGCTTTGCTGAACCAGTATGGCCCCAAAAGGAAAATTCCAGTGACGGTACACATACTTAAAAGATACTACCAACACATTCCTCATGGGCTTAAAGTCAAAATAGACGTCAGTAATGACGATCCATTCCCGACCCTTTCAGCTTTCGGATCTCACGCTGCGCTGAGTCCAGCGATTCTCTTAACGATTCAATTGGAGTCTGTTGTGACTTTATCTGAGTCATCTGGGCGATCTGGGCCCATAAATTGACCTACTGTTTACTGAGAACCTGCAAAAGATTCGTGCAGAGCGCCATGAAGGTAAACTTGGTAGAATTATTGAGCGATTTTTTGGTGTAAAAATCTTGATGAGCCTTACTTTACGGATAGCCCGATCGATCTCAACCAACTCCTTCAATCCCTTCTACGGCAATTGGAATCAGACATGATCAGCTTTGCTTCAGCAGAGGCGTTGGACTGCATATTGGCATACTACAAGGTCACTATGCGCGTTCTTAATAATGCTTCTCTGCGTTTACTAATATAGTTCCCGGTTGCTTTGAAACGTTTTGTTGACGATATCGCAAATGAAGCTGTGGAATCCAAATTGATGCTGGCCTTGCTCGATATTTTCTCTCCAGTATCTGTCTTTAATATGCGCGGCAAAGTGGTTACGCAGATCGCTGGCGAGTCGGAAGAAAATAGGTCTCTTCGCGACCAACTTAACAGAAAACTGCAGGTTCTAAATCGCGAATCTGAAACCTGCCAGCAGTTTGCGGTGTTAGAGGTTACGGTATGGGAATGAAATCCAAGTTAATCTTATCGGGCTGCAAAGATCGTGGGCATCTCCGGTCAGCCTTTAAGCACATCACACCATATCCAGGTGGATCTTGAGGATGAGGTACAATCTGTTATGGAATCTTCCAACCATTCCCTAGAGCCAGAACCCATATGCGCGGAGCCAGAGCCTATCGATGACGATGAATTGAGGTTAGTTTCAAAAACGGCAGAGACGAACTCTTCTAACAGATCTCTAGAAGCTCTTGAGCCACACGAATTGTGGTTTCCAGTTCTTTCCACAACTTCTACTCGGAAGGGCAAAAAAAAAAAAACAAAAAAAGGGACAACCTGTCTGAAAACCTACTTTAATGAGTTACAGGTGACATGAGGTCAGGGGCTAATACGATGTCTTCCGTGTTTGTTACTTGAAATTTTGTTTTACAATTTAATGAAGCAATAAGCATAAATGACTAGCTGCGTGATATTGAATTCTCTACATGAATATAACAAAGCCAAATAGGACAAAGTCAAACACACAGTGAGCTAAATATGCTCAAGAACAGCTCAGTCCAGGTACACGTTAGTACGTGCGACTAGCTACCCACCTTCCCCTCCAGTTGTCCCAGATCTTTCCCCGTCTCATCTGTTGCGGACGCTGTGGCTGAGCTTCGTAATCCGGGGACTGAGACCTATCGTCATCGTATCTGTTTCCATATTCCCGCCACGATGGACGCCGGCCGGGAGGGCGACCATAGGCTGTCTTCTGCATAGATTCAATCTGTCGTCGCAAGAAATTGATTTCTGCATCGCGTGGGTTCTCTCGTTCGATGGATTTGCTGTAGGCCCGACTAGATGCTGGTCTGGCGCTTCCTTTTCTCGGTGTAGCGCGAGTGAAAGGTTCAGCAAATCGAACCTCGCTAACCTTGGAACGCTCTCGTGAGAGGGGACGAGTGCTACCAGGGCGCGCATAGGCTCTCTTTGCTGGTACATCATCTGTTTGGCCGACACGCGATGATTCGTCCTGTACTTCTTCCTCGTAGTCGCTGAACTCCTCGTCTCTAAGCATTGAATCTTGCCTGGCTGCTTTACCTGAGGCTCGGTCAAGCAGGTGCTCAAAGGACAACCCCTCTTCTCGGCGGAAGCGGATCTCCTGGGTGAGTGCCTTTTGATAGATGACACGGTCTCCCTGCAGGTTGGACCCTTTGGTAATACGACGGATAAATGTTCGGTCTTCAAGGGTGACTTCCTTGGTCTTCCACTGGACCAAGACCCGAGTGTGAGGATATTTAGCGTATGGCTGCGGCCATATAAGATCCAGTGGCTCCAGATCCTCCTCCTCATCGTCTTCAATCTTCCAACCTACCCCAATGATCCCATGGATATCCTCTCGCCCCCATTTGAAACGTTCCTCCTTCCTTTTCTCTGAGATTTGAATCTCTTCTTTCTGTTGTCCCTTTTTGCTCGACGAGAGAATACAAGGGACATCATCGGGGTCATAAGTTTCATTAGATCCCGCACGAATCCGATAAATGCCGTTGGACTCAGATCCGTAGCGTACAAAGACCTGAGAGCCTGTTCCGCGCTTCCACCAGAATAGGACCTTGCCATCTTGAAACGAGAGTTCTTGCCTCGCGCTGGCCTCAAGCTCATCCAAGTCGGTTACCTCGCCATCATAAATACTATCTTGTATGTCATGTCAACAGGCATAGCATTGAAATCCGGCATAGGCATAAAGTCCGGTAAATTGCCTTCAAAAAGCGAATCTGTGTCATTATCTTCGACCGATTGCATAACCGCAGGTCGAAAATTCTCTTCCACAAACGAACTGTTGATATTCCATTCTGCGGGCAAACCATGATCCCGATTAAAGACCTGGAATTTCTGGTGGGTGTCATGAAACACCTTCCATGCGGCTTCGATATTATTGTCCAATTTAGCTTTCTCCAGGCTGTCTTGGAAACTACCGCAGAAGCTTTGGTAAGCCATTTCAGGGATAACACCATGCTCGGAGTCAGTGCCATGGTATTTGTTGGCGTCACGTATCTTTTTGTTGACCTCTTCAAAAAACGCAGTTGCCCTGGACATATCCGGCGTACCCGAGATGAAAGAGGCCTTTAAGTCTTCGTGTACTTCCTTGGTGGTTGCTTCGCGTATAATATCAGCCACCCATGCCTTGGTGGCTTCAAGAGGGGAGGCGGCTCTTTTAGATTTTCCTTTACCCCCGCTAGGGTTGGTTTGTGGAGGTCCAGTACCAGCTGGAGCAGGAGCGGAGTTGAACTTGGAGGATTCAGACATCTTGATCGTTGAAGCAGATAGTCAAAGAAAATCTTCTTGATCTTGTTTATAGAGTAGTGAAACTGATAATTGTAGTAACCGAATGTTCAAAGGACACTGGAGAATTTAAGTCTCTTCAACAGGGGTAGGTGGTAAAATTTATAGAAGAAAACACTGGATTAATCATCTCAAGTCAACTATCAACTATTGGAAATCTGTATTGGAAAAGGCTTTAACTCTTTTCAACCTGTACTATCCCTTTGAGATGCTATTTGTCGTAGCAATTATTTCGTAATAGAACCTACACGACAGGATCTAGTAATTTACCTTAGGCCTGTAAGGATACAGTCCATAGTCATGTAATTAAGATTATTCTTCCTAACTCTTGATTCATGATGCCCTCATATGATCTGAGATAGCAACGGCCAGCGATGAAACAACTGACAAAACATGCATTTACAAAATTACTGGTTCCACCCACCCAAGGCTCGTTTGGCTCACATTGTGAGTATTTTACCAGCTGAATGACCACTTATAAAGCTGTATTTTTCCTCTTGCCTAAGACATCTTCTCTACATTCTGCCTATGAGGTTTGGGCAAAATTACACACGTCAAGTAAAATACTCAAGTATACTTTGCCAATAGTCATTTTATAAGCCTGGGTGCTGCTTAGTTAGGCTATTGATATGGTCGTAAATAAAAAGTAGCTCGGTAAACTATAGAAATCGGTGTTAATCGCCTGAACATTAAATTACAACTATTTTTAGCGGTACTTTGAGATTACTTTCTACGCAGCAGGAGTTTGCATCCAAGTAGACAGATTCGCGCAGCTGGATGTAGTATCCGATGTTAATGTTATTATTACTCGGCTAGGGTGTTCCCGGGATTTTCTCGGCGGCATAGTCAATGCTCTCAATATCTTTGAAAATACACCAGCGGCCGGTCTACTGTTGTTCTAGCCTAGCGTTTTTTGCCTCTTACTCGGCAACCACCCCTGCCAGTCAACCCGTTTCTCATCACAATCCCGTCCAGCAGTCAGGGGTATACTCTTTCCCATCCGATACTAGTTTGCCGTTCGTGCTCCTGCTGAACTATCTTCAACTTCCAAAATTTGTAAAACCCAGTTAATCCTAGTGAGATGATAGCAGATAGCCCAGTCGCAATAACCGTCAGAAGGGCCATAATCGACCAATTACCCCCCCTGGCTGTATAGATATTGATAAGGGTAGTAAGGAGCCCAGCACAGGCATTAAGACATGTCGGTCTTTCTCAGTTAGCATATCACGCTGTCCATAAGGGAAGCGTCCTAGATAGGACGTAACTTACAAAAAAAGTCGATTAGTGACCCATATGTAATTATATCTCCACCTATAAAATAGAAGCAGCAGGATAACTACACCAACTCCGAGGAACGTGCATGCGATAGCTGCCAGTGGCGGGTTCTGCACAGTGCTTGAGATGCCACTTGTCGAACCATGATTAAGCTCCTTTTGAAGTGACTCGGAATTCTGCAGAGAGGTAAATGTGCCAGGAACCACAAGATAGCCAGCTAACAGAGTCCAGCTAGCGAAGCTTGCTAAGAAATTATACGCCCAGTGGATATTATCCAGCTCTAAAAGCATATGAATGTACTCCGTATCCACAGTGAAGTTGGTTCCGGTGCGCGTTGGTTGGGGGTGTGCATCAGGTTGGGGTACATCCAAGGCGTCTTGCATTTTGTCAGGCATTTTCTCGGAATAAACATAACAAAAACTGATCAAGGTTGCTAAAAGTGAATAATATCTGCTTATAATGGGGTTAAAGTCTTCTATTACTGAGGTATATAAATCATTACCAGTAGGTATAAGTAAACCTAACAAGTAACTAACCTGTAAAATATAGAGTTTAGTAAGTATTATAATATAAAATACTCAGGTTTAATTGTTTAGCTAATAATGTATTTTATCTTCTATAATATAGTTAGCGCCTAGAAATTACAAAAAAGCTATCCGGTGGAGATAATTAGCGACATAAGCCGAGAATATTTACTAAGTAATGAAAATAGGGCCGTAGTACCCTCGGCTTAATGTAATAGATTACACCTTTTTTTCAGCGCCCCAATTGTGCCTTTTGTGCAATCGTGCATATAATATTAGTTGGCCGAAGACACCAGCTTCCAGACTTGATTTTGAGAAAAGGATGCTAGATAGCGTTAGTTGCTGGACTTTGATCGGAGATGTTTATTTCATCCGACACATACTTTGAGAAGTTGCTCTATTGTCGCCGAGCATGGAGCACCGGCAAAGTCTCCCGCGAGCAGTCTTACAGTCCCACCCGTCTCTTCAGCCTTATCCAGGCGAAGCAGGTTTCGTGTTATAGCACAGACCGCCTGTAGATCCTGGGCCTTCCTGCGCGGGTTCGATGCACGGATCATACTCTCGCCAACATTCCCTAGCCACTGTCAGCCATCTGGAAGTGGTTCTGTCAGCGGGCATACTGACCGATCTTGACATCTCCATTCTCCATGATGAAAATATTTTCCAGACACAGATTTCCGTGGCCAACACAAAGTTCATCATGGATGTATTTCAAGCCATTCAAAACCTGATAGAAGGTTATTCACTTGCGCCGAATAGGATTTCCTAGGGTATCACCTCATTACAAAGCGTGGCCACTTCAACTTCGCCCAGTTTGAATACCGGCCAAAGTTGGCAAATTTCCTCCAGGGAGATACCCCAGCGCTCGTAAACAAAAAAGAGAGAGTTATCGGTCACGAAGGCCTCTTTGAGGTTGACCAGGTTCCGATGGTGAGTGGCCCTCAAATGGTCCACCTTTTTCTCTGTATCATTTGTTATAAACTTTCTGACATATGCCACTGGGAGATTTTCCGTGAATTCAATGGCATTAATTCCACCCCACTGGGGTTCCAGCCCAACGAAGAAACGGTCGTATGTTTTGTATGGGTGGCCATATTGGACAAAACTTGACCCTCTCGCGACTGGCTCTTTCATGCTCTCGGGGAAAGTCTTTGGATGAGCGGTTTGACGCAAGTTAATTGGAGAAGCAAGGACTTTAGATTCCACCATATTTTAAGAAGTGTTTCAAATATGATTTGATTTGGCCATACTTGCTACTTCGGGTGCGGTATTTATACACAAGGAAATGCACGTAGGAAAGATCGGCATATGGTAATATCTTGGCACAGACTCCCAAGACCAGACCACACAATACATTTTAGAAATGGATTAGGTTATGATTAGGAACGATACGTCTATGAAGGTCAATTTCATTACATCATTACGACAAAGGTGATTTTAATCAGGTCCCTCAGTTAGATTTTTACCGACTTTTTATCTGTGCTGCTGGTTCTGGATGATATAATCGGCACTCAAGACGAGGAGGATGTATTACATTCCTCGGCTGTCACTTTGGTCAGTGGGTCAGGTATTTTATCCATTAGAGCAAATTCTTTTCTCTTGCTTGAAGGCTCAGTACAAAATAGATTACGACAGCAACACAACGTAGGTTGTTTAATCCAGTGGCCGTATAGAGATTTATTACAATTCAACATGCTATTGTGGTAAGTGAATAAGAAATGAGGTATATTACAGCCTCCTTCGATTTATTTTTCGAGTGGGTTGTTTGGTACTGATCCCAAAGCGGGGCCAAAGTGTAATCTTCCTCAGTGGGTCACGTTGTTGATCTACTCTGGGCTTAGGAATATAGGATACGTAGCATAGAATACAGATGGATTTAAGTGCAGTCTGTAATTTATATGGTGGGTTATGTAGGGTGATAAATTATACGGCACGAATATCTAGATAGTTAAACCAAAGTAGCTTTCCAGCAACACATTGCATCGGTTCTCCAAACAAGTCAAGCAAGTCATAAGCCCAAAAATAAAGATAACCCCGCAATATTCCAGGGCATCCTGCTCCAAACAGTAATATGTTAGGATACAACATGACCCTCAACTCTTGAACACAAAATATTTATATTACTCCCACTACATGCTTGAGCGATTTGGGCCACTTCATATTATGCTGGGTGCGTTCTTTATGTTCTTGATAAGTACTATTTTAGTTTTCATATTCCCAAATTGATTCAACCCACCTTTTGAAAAAAAGAAAGAAAAAAAAACCTCTCAACATAAACAATACCCTGTATCAAGCCGGTTTCTATGATCTCCTACTTGAATTACTGTTCTAATTACAACTCTCTTCGGCCAATCGAGTAATGCATCTAGAAAGGAACCTGGTCTATGATAATCCTCCGGCGCAAAATTACAAGTCGAGAGCACACGACACATGCTAAGAGTGGATTAGATGGACATTAGAAAGTCCGTCAGTTGGATTTTTACCTGTTTTATGAAGGTATAATGGCCATTCAAATTAGCATATTACTACAACTTTCTATCGCTATATCCAGATGCACACGATAAAATCTTTATTACAGCCAATATCTACGGCGGTTTTAGAGGAGCAGGGCTTAAGCCATTTAATCCAGAGCGTGTTCTTTCACAGCTTACCTTTCGACTATGTACGCCTACACCTGCACCATCATTAGTTGAAGGCTCGATATCCTCTGCTTTTCAGACTCCGCAAAATACTCGCCAGTTAGATCGAAAGGTCCGAAGCCTACAGAACAGTCTTAATAAAAAACGGCAGCTTTCTAACAGTCCGATTGTTCATATTCAATATCTTGAAAAAGCAGCGCAAATGGCAATGCAAACCCAGCTCATTTTAGAGGAACGAATTAAAGCTTTACAAGCTGAAAATGGGCGACAAAGTCGAAGAAAGGCAAGAAAGCGTGCTGAACTAGGTAATGACCGGCTTCTTAATGTACAGGAAGATCAAAATCGCGTTCAGCAGCTTGATACACGGCTTAATGAACAGCCTGAAGAATCTACTCCGATGCCTCGTCGACGAGCTCCGCAACGCTGTAGTGGCTGTGGGATAGTTGGACATACAATTCGAAATTGCCCTAGTAAATAGCTATCTTTTCATATATTTATCTAGTCAATTCAACGGAGTTGGTGGTTG